CATCCCATTTGCTTTTTTCAGCTGAAGTCAGGCAAAGTCAGTGATCTTGAGGCAAACCCAGATGGAGAGCTCACGAGGCTCCAAAGAAAAAGCAATTTTCACATGGCCCCTTATGAGCTGGGCAGCAAGAGGAAGGTCTGGCACCGTTTAATGCCCTACAAGACACCCACAAAGGGGCTGGTTCGGGGTGCTGCTGCATCCCCTGGGCACTGAGCGGGCTCTGCTCACCCCTGACTTCTCAGTGTGCTGGGGATTAACCACAATGTGACTCCTGCACTCGTCTGTGGCCTGAATGAAACGGGAAAATCCTCCTTTTTGACTTTGCAAGGAAAGGGTTTGTGCCTTTTCCTTTTTGCTGAGAACAGCCCCTTTTCTTTCAGCACAGACAAAACCAATGTTTTTTCTCACTGGGCTTTACTTGGAAACGCTGGGGATGTGTCACCCCCTCCAGAGAGTGACAGGCCAACAAGCAGAGCTCCTTTAACAGAGCACCAACTTGTTGCTACACAGCCAATAAAAACCCATTGAGGTGGAATCAGCCACAAAACCTGGCTCCTCTTTCTGTGCAGCTCCTTCCCAGGCACTGGAAAGCTCCAATTCCTGCCCGTGGGGACAGACTGGAGCAGCAGCCAAAAGGGCACACGGGCATGGCTGCAGCCCCACACCTGACAGGCAATTTCCTCTCCCAGGAAAGCAGAAAAATGATGGAGCAGAGCATCTCCCCTCTGTTTGCCAGGCTGCAAATACACCCTCACCCACAGCCACAGTGCTTTTTCGTATCCTGCTTTAATTTACCAGTAATTAGCACTTCCCACTTTTAACTATTCAAATTTTGGACACCAAAAATTCTATGTGCCACACCTTGAAAGTATGATTATTATTCTTCCTTAGAAAATCTTTAAACAAACTATACAATTATGATGATGGAAAGGCCATAGATTGGAGAAAACAGGTCAAGTCTCTGAGTGCTGGCACAAGTATGAAAAGAAAAGTGGAAATTCAGGCTCTTGTCTGTCCTTTGGAACACAGCAGCAGTGAGATTGAAGAATAAAAAGTGATTTTTTTATCAGTTTAGCAGCTTCCCTGCACACACAGAATTTGGAACTTCTCAAGGTTGCAGCTTGCAAGGCCTTCTTGAGTAAGAAATCCTTTAATCCCCTAATTTTGATCAGTTGTCAGTGGTGTCTACTCACCCAAATTAAGCCTTAAAACACTAACAGGGATAGATATTTCTAAGCAGGAAAAGAAGAAGAGATGATCCAAACTGCCAGGTTTTGCTGCACCTCCAGCAGAATCAGCCCATTCTCACTGTGCAGCTACAGGGAAGTGGTTATCAATTACAGCCTCACAAAAATATTTAAAGTTTTGAAGTTTTATCAGGTTCTTTGGAGTGTACCAGAAGGAAACAGCACCTAGGACCTGCTGCAGGATTTCTCTCTGAATCCTTTCTCGGTTTGATTGTTTTAACGAAGAGACCATCCATGCAAGACAAAAATTAAACTTTCACCCTCTGTGTGAGGCAGTTATCAAAGCAGGGAGAGAAGATGAATTCTCAGCAGTCAGACTATTCCTGTGAAGGGAGCAGCATCCTCTGGGCACACCTGAGCAAGGGGAACTGGAAGAGCTTTGTGGCACTGCCAGGTTTCCTCTGCCCCTTCTGCCCATGGCTCAGTCCCTGCCTGACTTGGGGCACAGCTTTAGGACTTGCCAAGGCCGCAGAAGCAGCAAAAGCTACAAATATTTCAGCAGAAAGGCTGCAGTTTGGGTTTGCAATCCTCAAACCAGATGAGGATTTGGATTTACTTCCAGTCATGAGTAAATAAGGATCGAGCCTTACACCCTAGCTGGTGGAAAAGACTTAGCAACACCAGGTAAAAGGGGAAAAAAAATCCTTTCCAAAGACAGAAATAAGGATGGTTTGGGCCTGGTGTATTCATTTACACACTTAAACCCAAATCCAATTTGTCTCCCTGCTCCCAACCTCTGGTGGCACTTTGAGAATGTAAATCCTGTGTGAAACAACAACCTGAACCTCCCCAGCATGAGGAGCTCTCAGACTGGGAGCACTGCAAAACCACTGGGGAATTACTGAGTCTCTTCTTGTTAGGCTGGGCTTAATTAGAACCATCTGAAGACAGTGATTACTCTAAAAGGCTGTGGCAATGGGACAGGGCTGTGAAAGGAAAGCTGCAGCATCAGCCTGACACTTTACAAATACGGAGTTGAGTTTCACATGTAAACAAGCTCACTCACAAAAAGCAAACAGGATCACTGTGCACAACAATTACCACTCTAATCCACAGATTAAATCAACAGACAAAAAAAACCAAACCACCACCCCCAAAAAAAATCCTACAAAACCCCATTTTTTTCCCCCACAGCCAACCCTTCACAAAATAAATTTTCTTTATGTGGCCACAACTTAGAGGAATTTCAATGGCAGCCTTGGCATTGCAGGGAGCAAAGAGTGGAGGTTCTGAATGGCTGCTCTGAAGAAACCTGGAGCCTCCCCCTTCCCTAACCCAGCAACTCTCCTTTTTACTATCTGTTTCAACAAGCTTACAATGAGTTGAGGGCTCCTGGCAGCAGAATTTACAAAATCATAAAGCAGCATCATGAGAACACCACCTCTGGCTGAGGGAAATAACATTGCTGATAACACTTATCTCCAGACAAAGTAATTCTTTTAATAATATTCACTTTGTATGAACTGCTCTGTGATCTGCTCTTCATGCAGAAAGACCCTGCTGTGCTTTTATGTTTGATATTTAAGACATAATTTAATTATAATCTTAATTCCAATTAGTTATTTCAAGGCAAAATCAATCCTGAATTTTAATAAAGCTCATTCTTCCACCATGAAACTACTTCTTCTTGTTCTTTTTTCAAATTTGAAGCCGTGCAACATCCTAACTACTTAAACTTCAAACAAGGCAAACACCTTCCTTAGCAGGAAGAGGGCAATTTATTTCCTGTGTGCAAAATGATACAACTCCAGTTTTACTTGGACAGAGAGAGTAAAAAAGTTTAATATCTTAAGTTATTTTGGCCAGCAAACTGTTAGTGTTACAAAAAGTTTGTCTGTGACAAAATAAGGAAAGACATTTCAAATAAATAAGATTATTTAATTCACCTTTTTTTTGCTGTTGTTGTTTGTGATTATAAAAAGTTTGGAATGTGTATTTTCAAATTTTTATTGATAAGACTGTAAAACCAGCTAGACAAAAGGCTAAATCTGATTATCCTTTCTAGTTTCATAATTTTTTCCTGATTTAGCTAAAATCAGGTAGGAAAATATGCCCTGAAATTGAAGGGGTTAAAACGCACTGCAACTTGATCTCAAGTGGAGCCTCGAGAATCCTGTTTAGCTTCATTTTCAGAGATCTCTGAGAAGGGATGTCCTTAAAATAGATCTGTGTGTGCTTCAAAATAACACTGAGCCAGGAATCCAGGCACCCCAGAAATGAGCACTAACACAAAACCCACAAAAGCATAAAAACAGCAGAGAGTAAAACTATAGGAACAGGAGAGTGTAAAACCCTAGAAATATGAGAGTGTAAAATTTACTCTGTGCCCTCCATAGGGCATAGAACTAAACGGAACAAAACATTTCCTTCTTCTCTGGATAACTGGTGTTACCATCAGTGGCAGAGTTGGGAATATTGTTGAAAAATCATATAAATGCAGAGGGTAAATTGGCTAATACTTGAGAAAATATAGTGTTCATTTATTCCACTGATGTCTAGTCTTAGTTCTCGTTATCCCAAAGAACCATACCAGATTTTTGCAAAAATAAAGTTGTAGCATTAAGTGATGCCACTGGAGAAACTCTTGTTTATTCTGAAATATTATCTAGGGGTAGGTACATATTGATTTAAGATGTTAGGTGTTCAGATTATTGAAAATTTTAACAGAAAGTAAAATTTCAGCTTTACCCAGGGAATGCATATGACTCTCATGTGTTCAGGTTTAATTCAGTTTGAGGGGTTATTTTATTTTTAAATAAAACAGTATTATTTGCTGAAATAACTCATGAAATCTAAGTTTACTGATGTAGTAAGAAAAAGAGATAAAGGCAGACAATGGCACATTTTAAGATTGAAGGAAATTATGTCAATGTAGAGTTCTCCCTTCAAGGAGTTTTATTTCCTGTTTTTTTTAAAGTGTAGCTGTTGCTGTCCTGAACACAAAACAGCCTCAGAATAAGACTCTGTCTTAAAAAATAAAATTAACGGGTCCTCAAGAAATTGCAGTAACCCAGAATTGTGTAACAAGCTTTGAATTGTGAAATCACTTCTAATTCAAATAACATTCAATTACTCTGATTGGCCTAACATACACTGCACCCTGCAAGGAACAAATGGGAGGCTACACTGCACTGATTAAATATTTATGATCAGAAAAAATATGTCACCACAGAAGCAGATCATCTTCTGCAAACATCTGATTTTCTTCCCTTCATCTAATAAGAAATCAGAGTCAGGGGGACAGGAGAGAGTTAAACTCTCCTGTTATTCTAGCTGAATAACTAACACTTACACAGTCCTTTAAAAAATAATGAGATCCGAAGCCAGAGTATTAGTTAGCTGAAACAAGGATGAAGATGTAGCTCTCAAACTCCTAAGGGAAGAAACATTTTGGGAGAAAAAAAAAGGGAAAAAATGGAATATTGTAAATCATCTTCTTTCTTTCACCTTTGCCTCCTCATTAGTATGGGTTGGAGGCTCTTTCCTCCAGCAGCAGAAGCCAAGCTCCCGAGCAAGTGGCACACTTTGTTCTATGTCCTTTCAGGATATGGAATGCCTTTCCTTGTATCCTCTCAAAAAAGAGTTAAAAACTCTCATTCTGACTGTGGCTGGATAAGAAAATTTCCAGCTCAACTCACATCCTTAAGTGCTATAGGGTTACGAGGTGTAAATGATCAAATAGGTAGTGAATAGTCTGATCAAATATAAAAGTAGTGAATAGTCTGATCAAATATAAAGTTTTTGTGCACTTACTCCCAGAATTCCATCACTGGAGAAGTGGCATTTTGTAAAGAGACTTGACTGCAGTTGCTCATGTTGAGTTTTTGAAATTCCACACAGTTTTCTAGAAAAGAACAAAAAAAAGAAGGGGTTTGCTATGTTGACATGCAAGTACAGTTCTCATTCGTGTCCCACTGTGTGCACCTTTAAAGCCCCCACTCTACACCACATTTTCTGGGTGGGCTTAAAGGGTTTCTGGGGGCACTAATTGCCACAGCTGCTACTTCTGCAGCACCAGGTTATGATAACCCAGAAAAACATCCTTGAGGACTCTCCTATGACACTTCCCAGAGGCACAGGGCCAAAAAATCCCCTCAGGCAGATGAAAGAAACATTGAGGCAATGGATTGGGAATTACAACCTGCTCCTACTCCAGCTGCTGGTTCAGTGGATTATGGTACAAAGGGAACGTGAAAAGCCATAAACTCCCATTTTTTCCTGGGAAGGAAAGTGGGTATTTCCTCTGGCTTATCACTGCCATTATTATTATTATTATTATTATTATTATTTATTATTATTAATCACTGTTATTATTATCTCTAACACAAATGGCAAAGCAGCTCAGCACTGTGGAGCATTTGAGCAGTGATAACACTGGCCAAGCTCCTTTGCAAGGCTGCCAAAATTGATACCAAAGCCTTCCACATCCACTGGGCCCAAAATTACCTCCCTGATAGAAACTAAGATTTCAGGCAACTTTAAGTGTGCTCAAAGAACACAAAAAATGGCCAGTTACTGAAAACTATGAAAGACAACATTTGAAATTAGACTGTATATAAATAAATAAAATAAATGTGCAAAATTTCAGGATCATGGGAACAAGGACAGTGGGATGAGATCCTCCCCATGGATGTTTGGGATCTAGAGACTCAATAAGCAAAGAATTACAGATATAAATATCAATGAGAGGACAGATGCAGAGCCCTACCCTGCAAACCCTCCTGAATACATACCTCATCTTCCATGCAGGAGGCTACTTTACATGCAGCAAGGATTATTTATGAGACTACATTTCCAGAAGTAGCTTGATGAACATTATCCCTCAACATCTGGCATTTAAAAGAGCAATTCCAAAGATCCACATTTAATATTTTTCCCTCTCCATTCAAACTCCTCCTGACTTCATTAGAGTGAAAGAGCAAGATTGCAACCTGTCATCAGGTCATTCTCTGCTGCAGAATTCACTCACTGTGCTCAGGGAGAATAGATATGATTGCAAATGAGAGTCTTGGGATTTAGCCAGATCTTACAGAATTAACAAATCCATAGTCTTTTTCTGCTGACATTATATTCTTGAGGAGTAAATGCTTTACAATGACCTAACCCAAAAAGGTCCAAGGCAGTTTCACTCCAGGCTTCCTTTCTCTTGCTGCAGCGGGATGAGATTGGCCCATTTGTACAGATTTTGCTACAGCTTTGTTCAGGACAATTCAATATAATAATCAATCACCTGGGAGGATTTTTGTAGTGGTAATCTCTGCTGAGGTCATACCTGTATTCCATTCGTGGCCACAGGAAGCCCAGGGAAGCTCTGTAGTAAAGCAGTTGAACAAATAGAAGATAGCCCATGCTAAAATGATGATGTAATATACATTTAGGTGTGCCTCTATAACTTGGGTAGCATAGCCAATGCCTGAAGAAGCAAAACAAAAAGTGAGATATGAAAGAAAACTTTTGCTCTTCAGGCTATATTTAATTTAAAAACAAAAGCTTACTCTTAGGTATATCTGAACTTCAATTTTGATACTATTTATTTCATTTAATTCAAATGGAATGCCTTCTTTTGCAGTAGAACAGAGAACTGTTACCTTCAAAGAGAGGGCAAACTTTCCTCCAGCATGTGATGCCTCCTTCACTTGTAAACTGTCCCAAGGCCGTCTCCAGGAAAAATACTGGTATTCCACAGCAAATAAAAAAGACCACGTAGGGGATGAGGAAAGCACCTGCCAGTGAACATTGAGGGGGTGTTGGTTAGAATGAACAGAGCTCTCAGCAGCACAGAGAGGATTTTTCCACTACAGGAAGGATCAGCTGTGAGCCATCAGTGCAGTGCAGGAAGGTTTAGCCCTGCCCCAAATAGCCAAAGTTAACCTGTAAGCCAGGGCCACGGACTAAAACAGAGCAGACCAAAGTTCCCCAGCCTAAAGTCAGCTTGGGAGTCTCTAAAAACAGAAAAGATCCCAGCTATGCTCAGCTCAAAGTTCTGCTCTGCCCAGCACCACATCAGTCTGCACCCCCATCCTTGCTTTTTTCAGGGGTGAGGAAGCGTTACAGACATTAAATCTGAGAAATCCTTTTCCTGTTATTTATAAAATAAGGACTGAGAAAAGGGAATGAGGAAACAAACGTCAGAACTAATTATAAGGACAGAAAAGCAGGGCCTGACCTTATCAGGCAGAAATACTGATGTGAAATTCTAGGAAAACAACAAAGCATCAATGTTTTGGTTGGATGCTGACAGCAAACTCCAGCACAGGTAGTGAACCACAGCAAAACCCAAACACAGCACACCCACACCCTGCTTCAGTCACCCTGATTAGAAAGCTGAGACAACAAAATCCACCTGCTCTGAGTTTCCTTCAGCTCATCACCAGGAGTCTCTTCCCTCAGCCAGGAAATTTCCCTAGAGGTGAATCCCAGGTGCCTCTCAAGCAATCCATAGGGATTCCACAAAGAATGGAACACTGGCATGGCTTCTCTGGATAATTCACTGGCCAGGATCATCATACACACTATCATAGTGAGTTTAACAATGCAACTCGTGGAAATCCAAAGTACCAGCTTGGACTGTTTTTCCGACAAGCATACATCAGGAACATCAGAAATATATCAGGATGCCAAGCTTGCAAAAAGATCATAGTCCAAGAAATACCTCATTCTAAACACACAAAGAAGTTAATTTTCCTCAAAACCTGAACATCCACAGCCTAAAATTACGGATTATTATTTCTACACTTCCTGTTATGACTTGGAGTAAGTGCCAGAGAAATCAAACCTCACAAATTCCAAACTACAGCTTCTAGATTTGTTCTGTTAAAAGCAATTTATTTCACAGCTAGCTCAGATATTTACCACTGTCTTCCCCAACACACCAAGGAGTTGGATGCATCAGATTTAAGCACCAAAAACAAACTCTGGTCTAATTCCAGCAGGGGGTTACACAAGCTCACAGACTGAGCCTTCACTGACTAAAACTGGTCAATGGCAAATGTCCCATGGTGCCAGGACATGACCAATTAAATCACACCCACTTATTCTATTCTTAAAGAGTACAGTGGTGATTAAATATGATATTCAAGTAATTTATTTTTCATCAGATCACACAAAACAATGATGAAAATCCTTTATACCTCATTTACAGCCTTTAAAATGACAGCATCACCACCTTTTGACAAGCTGGCACACACCTACAAATGGGCACGTAAAGATGGCTGCAGGAGCCAAAAAATCACACACCAAAAATATATTCCTGTCATTTCCTCGAGTTCTCTGGGAACACTTTGACCATCACCAAGAAAGGGTTGTGCATATGATGTGCAGCATGTTAATTTTCAGGATCTGGTGGCAGCATTCTCTAAAGAGCTGAACTCTTGTTACCTAAGTTTGGCCAAAATACAGAGACATAAAGAAAGGAACTTCCAACAATAAACACAGTTTGCACAGCAGGATTTGTCTTGTAGAAACAGGACAAAAAACAGGCTAAAAACCATCCCTGGGTACAGATAAGGAGGGACAAGGAATAGAAATTTGGCACAGCAAACAAACCCATCAAGAGGCAGATCAGTTCTTATCAGCCCTGAACATCCTATTTTTCTTCCAGCGTCTGTGTTTACACTGCCACTGACTCAGGCCTTAAGTGTGAAGAATGTTGAACCCAATCCACAGAATTCTAAACTGAGTTTGTAATTTACTTTCCCTTCTTCATTGCTGCCCAAGTCAAAGCTGATGTGCTTATTCTCAACTGTCATTTATCTTATACAGTTTACAGTTGGCTATAACCAATCCATGCCACATGTTACACTCTGTAAAAGTTGAGTCTGCTCTTTTCTCTCTCAAATAACATTCATATTTTATATTTATTAGGGATTGCTCTCTTCGAGTAACCCGTAGTTTTACATCTTCCCCTGTCTTTCTGTAGGAATTGGGGAAGTGCTGAGGGGGAAAAAAAAGAACATTGAGGTATAAAAAAAAATTTCATGCGACAAAGAAAATAAATTTAGTCTTTGTGGCATTATTAGAAAAAAAAAAAATATTCATCCTTCCCAAAGTACACTGTTGTGACAAATGAAGTGCTGCCTTCTTTTCTGCGTCAGACAAACTTAGTTAAGTCTGCCTGGATGTGTATTCACATGCAGAAGGCAGCGTGTACTACTATAACTGAACGCTGGCTTCTCCTGCATGGAAAATGCTCCTGAAAAAAATGTGTCAATTTACTAACGCAACAGCAACTTGTAAAAATAAACCACACAGTGTTTGGAGAGAAGGAAAGAGAAACACAACGATTTTTCTTAGTTGTCAGATGTTTAATGCTTCCCTGTCTGCACATGCACTGAAATCCTGAACACGTCTCTCTCACTAGTGCAATAAATCACTGCAAAGGCCTCTTAACTGTTTCATTCCCATGTAAATCCACACGTGATGCCGTCTTACCTCCTCCATTCTTGTAGCAAAGATATGGGAATCTCCAGACGTTTCCCAACCCAATAATCTCCCCTGCCACAGAAAGCACAAATTCAACCTTATTGTTCCAGTGACCTCTTTCATGAACTTTCTTATCATTGCTGTGGACGAGGTTGGTACTTGAGGCTTCTGGGTCCAAAGCATCTTCTGGCTTGCCATTAATTATAGGAATAGTCTTTTCAGCTGTCATGACTTTTCAGCCTAGTGGAGAACAAAAGAAAAAACACACAGGTGTGTTAAGACACTTGCTGGCACTGATCTTCAGCGACTGACATCTCCCAGGGTGGCACTGGCTTCTTGTTACCTACGGAAATCTGCGGGTGAAGATGAGGGAGGCAACTCCACAAGGCTGGAAAAGTTGTAAGGCAGGGGAAAAGATAAAAAAAGGGGTGGGTGGAAGAGAAAAGGTTCTGTGCTAGGGAAGGAGTCATTCCGAGTGGTGACAGGTAACTTGCTAGCAGAGAAGGAAGCCTTTCAAAAATCCCTCCCCAGGCAAGGATCCCAGCCTGCCTGACCTCCCAGAGGCCGGGGATGTGCCGCAGCTCCGGGCGCGCACCTGGGCCGGGCTGTGCAGAGGGGCTCGGTGGCTGTGGCCTGCCGCAGGAGCGGGGGCTCGGGGTTACTCACCCGGGGCTCTGCCCGTGCCTGCGCGCCGGGGACCGGGGCCGGCTGTGCTCAGCGCTGCCTGCGGGCGATGCTGCGGCTCCGGCAGCGCGGGCAGGGCTCGGCCGGCCGGGGAGGAGGCGTTCGGGATCCCCGGGAGCCGGGAAGCCTCGTCCTGCCCTGCCGCTGCTGCCGGCCCGGCGTGGGTTGTAGGATGCTCCCCGCGCTCTGGAGCCGGAATTTGCAAATGCTCATCCCTCCCCGGAGCGATGGTTTAACACCCGCCTCCCCCCTCCGCCCACCTCAGGCTGTCCCGCCAGCTCCCCCCTCCTTCTCTTCCTCCTCCTCCTCCTCCTCCTTCTCCTCCACCCAGCATCACCACCAGCATCACCAGGCGAGCATCACCACCGAGCATCCCCGGCTGCGCTCCCCGCCCGCGGGCAGGGCCGAGCCCGGCAGGTTGGCAGCCGTGCTCCTATCCCCGGCTCTGCTCCGGAGCCCTCGGGCAGGGATGGGACCCACGGGCAGGGCCGAGCCCGGCAGGTTGGCAGCCGTGTCCCCATCCCCATCCCCGGCACGTTTGCAGCCGTGTCCCCATCCCCATCCCCGGCAGTCCCGGCCCTTCTCCGCAGCCCCCGGGCGGGGATGGCACCGCGGGCAGGGCCGAGCCCGGCAGGTTGGCAGCCGTGTTCCCCATCCCCATCCCTCGGCAGGTTGGTAGATGCGTCCCCATCCCCAT